CCCCAGAGCCCTGTACTGGATAAAGCATTTTAAATTATGGATGTATGGAAATTTGGTGTTCAATATAATGTCACTAAGCATTCTACAGAAAATACATATTTTTTCCTGTGAATTCGATGCAGTATTGACATGAGTCTTCTGATTATCCGAATACTGTATATGCACAAATAAACAAAAAATTGTTCTTATACACAGACCTCTATAGAATTATTTAAACATTAATTATTAAACACAGACACACTCAGTCCCACTATATACAGTCCCGTACTCCCGTCACCAGACGATATTCTCAGCCCGCCTTGCGTGCGCATGGCTAAAGCCACAATAGTTTACAAATACCTGCTCCTATTTCAACACTTCTTTCTCTAAGCCCTTTAAATTCAATGAAAAAATGCTGTCCTCAAGATCGCGGTCAAAATTCAGCCAGCATTGCATTCTAGTTAGGACTATAAACTTCAGCGCTCACTTTTTCTAAAAAACACGTGAGAAAGCTGATACTGAATCTGTGTCAGGTATTTGTGCATACATTTATAAAGACGAAACTGCTTTCTAATTGCGAGTCACTAGACTAAAATACTACACTATCGAGTTGATCAGATATGATATATATGCATATATTCTTCAAAAGCGGGAATATCCCGTATATAATTTGAATAACTTTTAGATATATGTGAACCGTGCATTTCAATCATTCGTACGAGGCCACCTGCTGACCATTTTCATGTTTGCAATGGACTTCTCTATCCAAACAGGAAGTCCAGCTCAGAGGAAATCGGTATCAGTCAAAATGGCGTCTCCCAAGAGTGCGCCTAAAGATGCTCAGGTACGAATATTACTAAATAAATTCGTTAAGATTAACTTAAGACATTATGCAGTGATCAGATAAAAGGTCGATTAAACTCGCAGCATGGTTTTCCGTGGATAGAAACGTTTAATTATATATCGTGCAAATGTGGTTTTGCGCACATGCTGGTCTAGGAGGGCTAGATAGAGAGCTGCACAGACAATTATTCAGCGTGCATGGCTGCTAGTCAAAGAAACATTTTAAGATGTTAGCTAAATAAGGATACTATTTCGCATCCCGATCTTTGTTAGTAATGCGAGTTGGGCATTAGCCCTCTCAGGATTGGATCGCACAATGAACCGGTGCGGCTGCACAGCCACATATTATTTCTATTCCGTATGAGTTAACAACCAATTAAGTTAATGTTTTTAATAAACTCGGAACTGTAAATAAAAATCATAGCTTGTTGGGGGTGTTTTGATGTAGTACGTAAGCTATATTTAATACATAGAATCTAACGTATTTTGCCGCGCTTAAATATTTTTGTACTTGAGAAGAATAGGCTGGTAAATGGTAAATACGAAACCTTTAAAATTAGATTTTAAAATGGCAAATTTTCATTGCAGTCTACGTGCATTAAGGTTTATATAAGTCGATATGTAGTCTAGCGTTAATGTTTAGGTCCGTTAGTGTCTTTTTTATTGAAGTGAATGTATATAGTCAGTCATACTTCCTTTTTTAAAGGTAATGGCTCAGATTCTAAAAGACATGGGCATCACAGAGTATGAACCGAGGGTGATCAATCAGATGCTTGAGTTCACTTACAGTAAGTACTATGTGTATACAATTTCTCTTCAAATCCCTGTGTTTCTGCGTTGTATTTAAATTTAACTTCTAAACGATAACGTTTTAAATGTCTCCATTTATGTGACTGTTTTGGTCATTTCTGTATGTCCTTTATGAATGAGTGAATTGAACAATAATACAGCAAGATTGTGATGCCATCATATTTAAAATTTAGAAGCCCTTTAAAAACCCTATAAAAATGAAACACTGAATGAGGGTCTTGGAGATCTGCTTTATTTGAATTTAGTTTTGAAACCCATTCACTGGGTGTGACTCAAAGAAGTTCGGAGATATTTACGTCACAAAGGTGCTGTGGTTTCTGGTCTTTTAACATTTGTATTTTTGTTTTGTAGGATATGTAACAACCATCATAGAAGATGCTAAAATCTATGCAACCCATGCAAAAAAGTCCAATGTAGATGCTGATGATGTGAGGTTAGCCATTCAGTGTCGCATGGACCAGTCTTTCACCTCTCCACCCCCAAGAGATGTGAGTTGCTTTCATTGGCCTTGTTTGTATGGATATACAGCACAGAAAGGTCTTCTCAAGACCTCTTGTTTCACTGATAAGGAGAGAGGATTTAATGTTGAGCTTTTAAGGATGAAGTGACAGTACTGATGCATTCAGTAAATCCCTGTGGGAAATGTGTTTTTCTGTGCAGCTTAGCTGCATTGGCTGTTCATTTTTAATCAATATTGTCTAGTATGGATTATTGTCTGAGTGCACTTTTAATAAATAGCTGGCACATCTAAAAATACTTATTTTGAATTTTTGACAGACTCCTCTTAAGAAGTGGTGTCATGGAATGCGAGATGCTTTCTGGGCACGTAACTTGTGTGCTTTGTGCTCCACTAGACTGATGCTTTAATGAGTATTGGACTTTTCAAAAGTATTGCAGGGATTGCTGAATAGACTCCTAAATTTACGCATTTGCTCCCAGTAGTGAAAAGAGAAAGCGGCATATTTGGTCTTCATTGCTTTGTTTCTATTCCAAAAAATTCCAGACAAATCTTGTTCTATTCTATTAAATCTATCATAGTAACATATACAAATGAATAGAAAGACCTATGTGGTCTTCATAAATCCATGATGCTTGAAATATTAAATGGTTATGATTTTAGTGTGTTAGGAAGTATTAATATTGTTGTTTGATTGAGCAGGTGGAAGTTTTGTCACGTAAACAGACAACCCTTATTAAGTAAACAGACAGCCCTTATTAAGTAAAAAGAAAGGAAAGCATGCTAGAAGCAAGCTGTAGGCTCTCATTAAACAGGATGCAGTCCAGATAATGACAGGACATCTTTCAAACTCATGTGCTGCAGTTCCTGCTTGAGGTGGCCAGACAGAAAAATCAGACGCCTCTGCCTTTGATCAAACCATATACAGGGCCTCGCCTTCCTCCAGACAGATACTGCCTTACCGCTCCCAACTACAGGCTGAAGTCCCTGCAGAAAAAGGTATGGAAGAGCTGAAGAGAGTATTTTAACAGTTTCCAACATTTTCTTGTTCTTCCTCCTCAGATACTACAGGGTAGAAATTATGCAGTATTTGTTAACATTGTTTTGTGTATAATCAAACTTGTGTTGGACAAGGTTTTGCCATAATTATGTTTTGAAGTGCCACTGGGGAAGGGATTATGGTAAAAGTATTAGGCATAAGTGACCTGATGTTCATGAGCATCATTTTACCCATTTAATCTTTATGTAGACAAAGCTTTCTCTAGAACTGGCAGCAACAGTTTTGGTGTTTGTCCAAATCTCTTAATTAGGTTACTGTCACTCCATAATATGTTCCCTGAAATGGAAGAAAAATAAAATCTGATAAAAGTTTCTCCTGCTGTCATATTGCTACCAGTGCACAACACAGAGTCAGGTCAGGTGAGTCTTGTTGCGTGACCTGAAGCTCGTCTTCAACAGGATTACAAATAAAACAAACTTTGTTTTATTGGATTAGTTATTTAATTCCTTCATTTTCAGGATTCACTTGGCACCTCAATAATGTCAACTCCATAACGATGTATCGAATACTGACCAGAATTCAGTGTTACACATTTTCACAAAGTGGAGGTCAAATGTCAACAAAATCTGCTTACCTATGCGTTTTACATTTCATGGAAATACAATATGACCACATTAAAGAGCTTTAAAATGTCATCTGAACCATGGTTCTGCATCAGTTATGGTGGATGTTATGACCACATAAAAGTTAGATTGGGTGTAAAATGGGTCAGCCTTCAGTTCATGAACAATAAGTGACTCATGCCTAATATTCCACTGTAACAATTTGTCACAGTGGCAGACATACCTGAGCTAGTCTGACAAGAGTGAGCTAAATCAAAGCTGTTTGGGGATTTTGTTGTTGACTTTATAACATGAACAATATGACATTATATTGACATTAATAGTTTTATTATGTGCTTCCTGGATTTTTTTGCTTTTTATAGAAATGGTCTAAAGACAGTCTGATTTTGACTAGTTTGGGAAGGTAGCAGCTACTAGAGGTGTCCACATGCATAGGCTGTAAAGGAACAAGTAAAAGGTTTATTCCATGCTGAAAAGAGAAGATAGAAGGCTCCACAGCTGAAACGTTGTTTCCCTTCTCCTCTTTTCAGCATAGATTAAATCTTTTACTTGTTCCTGTGATTGTGAATGTAGGTGAACACATCTACAAGAAACATTTTTCAGTTTACAGACATAACACTCTGAAGTCGAAGTGTCAGAAATATTTTCAAATGCCAAAATTCTTTGTGTTTCCATTTATTGAAAAGCAATAGCTTTTATGTCCATGTTACAGAAGGTTGGTGGTAAATGTGGTCCATTCAATTTTCACACTGGTTTCATGAATCATTTTTTTTAATACACTTTGGGCAGCATCAGGGAGAAAAACATAATTAGCTTTCACTTGGTACAAGCATAGTGACAAGTCTTGCTTCACAGGTGTCGTCATCAGCAGGAAGAATAACAGTGCCACGACTGAGTGTGGGAAATGTGTCCAGTCGGCCGAGCACTCCGACGCTCGGTAGGTTTGTCATTTAAGCAGAAAAAAATGGATTTAAAAACAGAAAACAAGGCAGATAGATTTTATTTAGGAGCAAAACCTTTCTTTTGGATTTGTCACATACTGTGGCCGGTTCTAATTTTGAGCTCTACAATACAATAGGTTTTAAACCCCTGTTTCTCATAATAGAGGAAACATCATGTTTAATTGTATATATAAAATTGTATATTTTTCATTGTGTATGCTAGGCTTCATATAAATTTGTATAAATCGTCATTTTGTGAGGAATGTTTAACAGGTCTAAATAAAATTATCAGATGCCTCTGCCTTTGATCAAAATCAAAGGCAGACGTCCAGGGCAGATGTCTCCACCTTCAGTCCTGAAGACCCCCAATCCAGTTATTCTTATAGGTCACCCTTTTCTAAATCTTTTTTGTAAAGAATAGGAACAATATAAGATGCTGATGAATCAAGGACGTAATCTGTTCAATTAAGAGAAGTCTGATCCTTGAAGGGTGGGGGATAAATTTGATTACATAATTGAACAAATCATCTGCTTGATGAATCACAATTAAGACTTTAAAAAGTCTTTAGAAGTTGGTGACTTATAAAACCCAATGAATTGGAGCTCTTTATGACCAGAGGAGAATAAACTTTTATTTGGAACGAAACCAGAAGGATCAAATGTTTGATCAGAGTCAATGAAGGAGTAATGTCCATGTGATAATTTAAGAGTTCACTGCTTTCACGGTACTACTCCTTTTTCCTCAGGTACCCCTTCCGCACAGACTGTAGCAGTTACTTCCAAAGTTGGGACACCTGTGTCACTGACAGGGCAGCGCTTCACTGTTCAGATACCCTCATCACAGTCTTCAACTGGAAAGTCAGGTAAAACTCGCACGGTGCAGAACTGGAGGAACTCAGCTTGCATTGAGTGACTTCCCATTTTCTCAAATCTCCACTTACTTCATGTGATCCCAGAGTTAACCAGGCACCGTTCCAAAGACTGGTCAGGAAGGATTACCTCTTTTCTACAGTAATTGGACTGTTGATCATATTTTTACAGTTGAGTATATTTTGCCTCATCTGACTCCTACTGTTTTCTGAATTAATCAAGAACAGAAAATAGTTTGTACACTTTCATTTCTCTGGAGGAGTCTCTGTAATCCACTTGAAAAAATGGGAAAAGGAGAATACTACCTTTCCTTCTGGAAAAAGTTTAATTTAATTTACCCAAACCTTTTGAATTCTGATGCAGGTGTAGGCATCCTCTCATGAGGCACCAATAAATGTAGGGGTTTGTGCATTTACTGGGACAATTATTAATTGTAGCAGTAAGTCACAAAATGATTATTTGATGGCTATTAGAATCAACCTTGTGGGATAACTCAACGCACACACATGGATACTAATACACGAGAATACATTTATTAATACATAAAATGTGCATATAAACTTAACAGATCTTATCATGGGGGTTAGCAGAATACAAAAGGCATATATTCAGTCACGAAGAGTTACAAATACCAAGAGGGACATACATTCAGTATATCATTCATTTAGACCGTTTCGTAAATGAACTTGGATTACAACGTCTACACTAGAAACTCAAAAGCAAGTACATCACTCATAGGAATTAAATTGATATCAACTGGGGTTGAGTTAACAATTGAATTCTCGAGCTGTAATGCAGAATGTTGAATACTTATCCAATCTGTTGGGATTCAGATCTCCCGCGGACAAAGAAGCAGTGGCAGGCTTGTTGCTGTGTCATTTCAGCGCCAGGCAGTGCTGTTGTGGCTTGCGACGTGGTGGGAGAGATTCCTGCTGCGATGCACTGCTGTTGCTCTCTGAAGACTGGCTAGTTAGTGTTGGCTGAAACTAGCAGAGGTTGTGCACAGGAGAAAAGTGACTGTGGGTCCAAGTAGGTCACACTCTTTAGGCAGGAAGAAGACCAGTTTGTTCCTGATGTAGCGCTAGTTCTGAATACTTAGATTCAGCTTGGGTTCACGAGGCTTGCTGCTGGCTAACCTCAGGTGCATCCTCTTGTTACGACTCCTGGAAAGTCCTGCAATCGGACACACTGGCCGTTACGTGGTGGTCTGAACTGAGTCTGAGAAAGTCCAGGAGTAGCCGAGTCAAGAATGTCCAGGAGGCGCTCTGAGGAAGCCCTGGGCTGCCTGTTTTACCTGGAGGAACCACGGTCGTTCATTGGTTGAAAGTTCTGTGGGAATGTGAGACCCACGTGGGGTTAACCTGCCCTACCAGTTCCTGATTGGCTGATGATGAGTAACAATGCACTCTGACCTTGGGGTTGTAAACAACTTGGGATCAGACTTTCCTTGGAATCTCCCAGACTTTAAAGCCCCATTTGTTAGGGTGGTTGATGTGTCCCAGCCTTTGGAGTTGTTCCTTATCACAACACTCTATCAGCTAGAAAAACACCTTAATTGTGAACCAAATGGAATGGCCTCTCTGTATCAAGCACCACTGAGTTGAAGGAGACAGGGACTGGCAATGGAGCAGCAAACTTAATACCTGTATTTTAATAAACCTTGCCGCTGCACAGGTATGAAGGTCATTGATAAACTGAAGCTGATAACTTTTTGGGTCAAAATATATGAAAAAATATATTTTGAATAAAGAAATTGCCACTTTCTGACTCTTGGGGAAATAAGCCTTACCTTGATATTTAAGAAAACACCCTTATGTCTCACGCTTTTTATTTTATTTTTTTTACAGCTACACCTTCTACACCTACAGTTCAAAACGTCCTGATTAACCCCTCACTGATTGGATCCAAAAACATTCTCATCACAACAAACATGGTTTCGTCACAAAATTCCGCCAGTGACTCCAACCCACTGAAAAGAAAACATGAAGAGGATGATGACTATGATGCTTTGTGACCCATGAAAAACATTCTGTCAGTGGCTGGACAGTGAGCCTTTGTAAATGTGCTTGCTTGCTTGTGTTCATTTTCATTATAGAAACTTTAACAAATATTCTTAATTGTTGCCTAGTTTGTATTAAAAGTAGTGTAAATGAGGGCTTTTTAATTATTAGCTACAATACTGTAAAATAATTGATGCGTTTATTTTCCTGCTTTGGAGATCTTGTTCCTCATGTCCGCTAAGCAAAATCATGCTTAGCAAAGAATCCTGGCAGGAAATAATAAGGGTTTGTATAAGGTATTAAAAAGTAGTACAATAGCATTATAAAGTACTTTATAGTAAATCGCAATGTTTTTTTTTTAACTATGACATCACTGCAGATTCAAAACAGGCTTTGAATTCAGAAGATTGTGTGTTTCTTTTACAAATACCTTAATCCTCATTTCCAATGACTTGACTAGCTAACACATTTCCATCAACTGGTATAGATTGGCTTATTGGGACACAGTGGTATATTTTATTAAGTCAGTTTGTTGGTAAAGAAGCTATAACAGAATATAGGAATAACCCAGGACAATATTTTTATCCTAACTCACGATTTTTTTCTTTTTACAAGAAAATGAATTGGAGGTTATGATTGGGCAGTGATTGTATTCTGTGAGCTCATACCGATCAAGTGACAGTGGAAACCGATTCATATCGTAAGCTGTTTTACAGCTCTTGTTGAGCCACACTGCATCTCAGTTTCATTAACTTTTGTTGGCAAACAAGAGCAGTAATATTTACTTAAGATCCCCCAAAGTAGCTTTCTTATAAAAAATCAACTTACCTTTTAGTAGTGGTTTGTGAAATTATTTTTGTATTGACTGTTCTTACCTTTAAAGGTTTGTATCTGAAGCAAAATTCAAAATTTTGCATTTTTCTGTTTAGAATAAACTGTAATGCTATACTATTTTGTGGGCTAATACTATTTTTGGCATGGAAGCTTGTATTCAATCAATTCAAAAAGGAGCACCTGGTGTTTCCACCCTCGTGGGTTTTCATCCACTTCACAGCTGACATGCTAATTAAAAATGTTTTATTGTTCATTTAATTTTGCATTTGATTTAGTTGACTGAAACTGTTAAATGCCAACTGAATGAATGGCGAAGGGATGGCAGTGGATGTCTTCACAGATGTTAATTTTTAAATTATTTTCCATTGAAGGGCGTTGTGAAGTAGTTATTTATGGAGTGAAAATATTTTGGTTGTCTCTTTAAGGGTTGTCATTCTGTACATATAATGTTTGAAAGACTCATGGGAACTGCTGTTGCAACCTTCTGATTTATGCCGCCTTTGGAAATGTTGCCAAGATCTCCAGTCAAAGAAAAGAAAGGGAATGTATTTTATTCAGCAGACCATTCTTCCAAAACAGTCGTGTCAAATGGGCCAGCAATTGACACTCTTGTCACAGTGTGACAATACAAAAATCAATTACAAAGGCTTTTTCTCAGGTGTTAGAGAGCGTGAAGTATTAGTTAAGAACAGGCTTTGGACAAATGTGCGGTTAGACCTCCAGGATTTAATGTTGTTTAATGTTGTACTTTCTCATCCTGTTGGTGAAGAAATATATTACATTTTTGTGCAGTTCTGGTTGCTTAAAAGAATCGGGGTGGGGATTTAGATCCAAACACCACAAGATAAGTGGTGGCAATATTGTATGAACAAAATAGAAAAGCGATAGTGGTATTGGTCAGGCAGCAGGTATCAACAGAGGTATGCCATGTTTTAACCTATTTGAAAAGAAGCAGGATCAAAATATCCTGTGTTTTGTGCAATGTATGCAATTAACTTTCTGATCATGTGTTTTGAGTCATTGATCTTTATTTCAATACTGGAGAAACTACCCAGCCCATAGTGTTTTAATGTGATGGATTATTTGCTCACTGGGAAGTTGTAGGTAATTATAAATTTGGCGAATAGTGCTTGAAGAATGGATTAGCATTATGGGCTAAAAGTCCATAAAACTGAATTTAGAGTCAAAGTCATGTGAAAACCAAAACAAGACTTTCAAATAAATCAAAAGAGATCAGAATAGAGCTCTTGTAATAGTTACTGTGGTGTGTACACAGATGTTATTGGAAAAGTGTGGATTTGAAGGACAGGGTAGTGAGGTAGACGGTGGAAAAATTAAGGTGCAGTAAAGCTGAATTAGCCTTTTATATGTATAGTTATAGGATATGAAAATCTACTTTACCCTCCTGAATAAACTGTATAATTTCAAGAAAAATACATAAAGCTACTTTAGGCACATTTTGTATTGTATTAGGTACATACAGACATTTTAGATGGAGAGAAGGCCTTTTTTGTCATGTGCTGGAGTCACCTGAAAATTTCTTGCCTAAAGATTCTTGGTCCCTTATAGTAGCTTTTCCACATGTATGCTACTGAAGGTCCTTGGCCTCAACCATTTACTTCCTGATAGTTCCTCCAAACACCACAAGATGTCGCTGTCGTGTCAAAACATTTTTTTCTGCTTTTATTTCTTTATCGTTGGCCTTTTCCACATAAACGAGGTATATTGCAAATAAGACGGAGTTCTTTACATATTTAAAAATAGGAATGTAAAAAAAAATAAGGGGATATTTTGAACCAGCCACTATAATCTGTAGTAGTTAGGTTTAAAACGTTAGAGTGACTTTTATTCTTATATGAGCAACTAATTTTGAATTCGCTGTTTCTAATCAAATAAGCGTGTTGGTTCAGCCCTCCAAAGAGATTAAGAAACCATACTGATTTCCCATATTGTTTTCCTCCAGTCAATGACAATGTAGTAAAAATGGAAAAAAGTGGTTGCTTGCATACTTAAAAGCATATACCTTAGCAACACGTTGTATAATTTTGACATAATTCTTGTCAACACATTGCAAATGTGTACTGATGAACCAGTGCAAAGATATATTAGAAGAATCCATAAATAATGCCTTCCACTGTTATAAGAAATGTATCTTTTAAATCGAGAACGAACTAAGGAGATTTTGAAAATATTGGCTTTGAAAGACAAATCAAAATTAAAGAGAAGTGCATTTCAGACAAAAAGCACTTTATATATAGGAATGTGGAAGTCTAGTAAAAGCTACCCATCCATGTTGTTGAACTGGTACCCTGATATCATTTAAGAATTGTGTTGCTAAGGTTTTCAATTAACAGCCTGCTAGAAACAATACAAATTTTGATGATCTTGAATGGTCTCTTCTCGTTAGCAACTTTTCTTAAACAAGCAGAAGGGGACAAACCTGCAGGTCCAACTGCACTTTTAAGGTTGCAGATGGATGCAGTTATCACTATTAGCATGCCTGCTTTATTTTAAGCAGTAAGCCAGGAAAGGCTGGGTAGACTACATACTCTCCCATACGACAGGCACTCCACCAACTGTGGGCAGCCTCCAAGAGTTACAGAGATACGTAGCTAATGACATAGCCCATACTCAAGTCACCAATGTCCATGATGAAAGGCCCAGCACTGTTGTCACTGAGAAGTCCCTATGTGACTTCATTTTTGTAGAACAGTAGTATACATTCATATTTCTAAGTTGAATTAGATGTGTTCTGTCTGCAGTACTTTAATTTTTAGACTTATTATAAAAAAGTGTGATTCTACTGTTCCAAATTAGAAAGAAAACACCCCATATAATTTAGTGAGCATAATATTAAAAAAGAAATGGAGCAGTTAAGAGCGCTCAGTTCAGCATGTACTGCAGAACACTTTTGCACTGTTACTGTTCATTTCATTTCAGAGAAATTTCTCTGCCTCTAAGAGTCAACAGAATTGATAGCTCATGCGTTTCTCTCATTAGCTAAACAATGGGGATGTGTTCACTATTGTTAAGTCATCTTCTATGCTTTGAAAAGATACATCTGACCTGCAAAATAATTTTGTTTACTGTCTGTTGTGGCTTTTCTTCAGTCCTCTATCTGGAGTACATATTTATATCAGAAATGTTCTTGATGAAAACGTGTGACTCATACATTCATAAATCAGGTTTGTGTGTCATGAATACTCAACGTTCCTTAGTTATTGATGAATGACTTTTTTTCTGAGACTAACCTAAATTAGGTAAACAATTGTAAAGCCAGAATCCACTTGTTTACTTTAAGATTAGTGCTGAGTCACTGCAAATTGTGAGTTTGATAAATGAAGCAATCTGTCAATACACAAATACCTGTGGCTAGAGATGTCTAAAGAAGCAAAAAATAATATAGCCAGAAGCTGGTTGCATATTTGATTGTTTTTTCTTCTTTTACATACAGTATGATAGTATTTTAGGTAAGCAACTTTTTTGTTCATAGTATTTATGATTTGCCTTTCTTGAAAAAAGAAATCGCAAGTGAGCATCAGGCTTGGGAGGTGGTTTAGTCTGGACTTCTTATTGTGTTTGATAATATTTGATCATATTGACAGTATATTACATACTGTAGTATTTTTATAATCCCACATTTGACAGGCTCTGCCTTCTCCTCTTTCCCAAGAAGATTGCATTAGGTCATTGTCTGTTTTCAATGCTAGAAACCTGAAAAAGTGAACCAGAATAAAGTTCACCTTTTCAATGTTTTTCATTTTCAGTAGCCAAACAAGTGCACATTGTGCTCATAATTATCTTATTGCCCCCAGTTGGATTGGATTATTTCAGCTTTATTTCTTTTTATACAATAACGAATGTCATAGACTTTGCCAAATGCACTGTAAATGCTAATGAGTCCACATAGATTTTTAAAAGAGCATGTTTAAGGTCAAAGTCTGAAACTATAATGTGGAAAGATACATTGCCAACCCCAGTCTATAGGGCTGGTCACAGCCTTAGTTATGAAACGCTGTTTAAAAACGATTAATTATGAAAACACAAATTAGGAAATAAACAAGAGGAAGTAAAATATCCAAGAATCAAGCTGTTTCTTAGAGTATCCCACAGATCTGCTTTGCCAGCATGGAGAGTAAGTTTGCCAGCATGGAGAGTAAGTTTGTCCCAGACCTACAGTGACTGCCTTCTTTTATCCTGAATGCTCCTAAATATAATTTCCACTTGTATGCCTGATCCTTGAGTCGTTATTGATCTTGAAGAAGTCTCTTTTTTTATTCACTAGATGAGTGCCTTGTAGGATTTTAAATACCTGAATCGAGTCACGTAACTCTTTGTGTTCTGGGATGGAACAGTCAGTTCTCTTTATTGTTGTTAATGACTTTATCTTCAGACTAAGTGTAGTTATCCTTTGTTTTGCATCTAGAGCAGTGATATTTTTTTAGTTTGGAAGTTGAGTAAAACTGATTATTTCAAATGGAATCTTTGAGAACTGTATAGTTTTATCTTCCCATGATTTAAAGTCATCTTTTTTTGAGTTTGGAAGAATTTAATATTCTTGTTTTTCTTGTGAATATGTTGGACATTCTGTGCTGCCGTTTGCAGAGGGAGAGGATTAATGGTAGAATCAGTGAATTTATTACATGCTTCTATACTGTGGAACCTTACACTTTCCCAACCCCTTCAAGAAAACAAATAACCTTGGAAAACTTAACAAAATTACATATGAATTACACATAAGAAAAATCACATCTATTTGCTGTGACAAGGTCTATGACCAGAATTCATGCTGAGCCTCAGCACATTTGTTTGCTGTCTATAGTGTATATCTGTAAATCACTGCCAGTAAGTGGTAGCGATTTTATATATGGAAACTTTTATATGAATTGGAACGAAGCTAGGTTTATCTCAGATTCCTAAAACAACTGCAACTGCAGAAAGCTGATGCAATTCCATTCTGATTTCAAAATGGATTTTCTGCAAAAACAATGAGCCACCTGCTTATTTAGGGTTGCTTGTTTTCAGTGCATCTCTTTTTATCTTGTCTGTGAATGGAATATTTTGCATCTTTGTTTCGAGCTGCACCCAGGCAGCAGATGAGGAAATTATTCTCTATAAAAAAAAGAAAAAGTTTACACCAGACTGTGCATTTTAGAGCTGCATAAAATCCCAAACAGAGAAGACGAAATGAAAAGCCAAAAGTAAATTTCTCTGATTGAAATGTGGTCAGAGTGTTCTTGATTTCTTCATTTTGCACT